TTATATATTTATATAATATATTTTTTAATATATTACATTAAGCTATAACTTTGTCAATATCATTTCTTAATTATTGCATGCATTATTATCTAGTATCATTATGAAACAAATCAAAACATTTTTTTATGCAAATTTAATCATGTCATATGTTACAGGCAGTCCCAAAATTAGATAAGGATCATCTTTAAATTTATATAAATTAAATATATCTGCTGAGATCTCAAACTGAAAATACAGAATTGAAATGTAATGCAAATTCACATCTCATCAATACCCTTGAATATCTAATAAATATCTACACAACATCTTTTAATTCTTCATATTTTTTTCTGTAGAAAAACATTAACTTAAATACAGGTATATTTTTCTAACGTGGTAAGTTCCAGACACTGCCATAAAGAAAATGTTCCCTTAAAACAAAACACAGTCTTTTCCCCAATTGTTAATGCATATAAAAGTCTATAAATATATTTGCACTACCATTTATTAAGTGCACAATAGTGACACACCTAAAAAAAAGATGCAAAGTAAAAATAAATGGATGAATAAAACAACCTTCAAAATCTTAAGAGCAAGGCTAGATAGTGTCAAAAATAAACAAAATATAATTGAGAAGAATCATAGCAAAGCACCTCAAAGCAAGTACTGATAGTCTTTCGTCTATAAATTCAAAATTTTGAAATGAATAAATTAGTAATCTTCAAAAATAATCTCATAAATTGTTTTCATAAACAGATTAAAACTGTATATTTAATATAATATAATTTAGCAAAATATTCAATAAGTATAAATTAAATAAATAACAAAACTTAGTCTTCTTTCAAGGAATTAAAGTAATTTAATGTTTACAAGAACTACCTTCTCATCCTAACAACTAACATTGATTGTTACATTACATTCTGTATGTAATTGTAATTGAAGACAAGGTAGTCACAAAAAACATTAAATGATTTTGACTCAGAAACAAATCAAATGTTGTAATTAAAATAGTGACAAGGATAATTTGACTGATATGCAATTTACAAGTTTTTTTTTACTTAACTGCTGATCAAATGTATCTGCATCTCTTACTTAATACTCTGTTAATGATACTATTATAAAAGTTGCTAGTAACATAAGAGTTTTAATAAAATCTCATTGGTGCTTAATATTACAATTCTCTACATTTCTTAATATCTCAATTATATCAATTCTCTATGGTGCTTAATATTCTCTTATAAACAAACATAACTCAAATAAATTTATATTACACCAAACAACTACTGGATTCCATTCTCTTATGACAAAACAATAGAATATCCCTGTCTGAGTGTAATGATGAAGTCCACTACCTAGACCTCATCATTACACTCAGACAGGGATCAGTAGTCACATAGGTATATCAAAAACCCTCTCATAACTCATTCTTTATACCTTCCATCTCTAACAATCAGCAATTGTATAAAACAGTGTGTTTTAGAATTGCTTCAATTTTAAGACCCATTAGATAAATTAGAGCATATAAAGAACATGTCAATAAGGTATGGTTACTGCTCAAAACTCAACAGCTTAACACGTAAAGTATAAAATAACATTAAATATCCACATAAGAATGAAAAAGTAAGGCCAGGATCAAGAAATTGAAAATGCATCATCCTTGAATATGATCCAAAGTTACACCAGGCACACACAAAACTCACTAAACATGTAAACACTGCTTTCAAATATAAACACAATCCAACTTGTATGTAGACTTAATGAACGAAAAACATGAGGAAAATGACAACAAAGCACCAGGGTGTAAGCTATACACCCTATTACAGTCGATTCTGCTTAATTGGGACACATTGGGACTAATCCATTTTAGTCCAATTAAGCAGCTGTCCCAATTAAACGAACTAATAATAAATTCTATAATAAAATACGTAATATGTAGGTAAATAAATAAGTAGGTAAAAAATAATAATTAGGTACCTATTTTAATGCTTTATTAAACCAAAATACAGAAAATATTTGTACTATAAATTTGCCAGACTCATGTCAATAGATAACTGATTCACATAATGCTAGTGTTGCCAAATATTGGTAGTGACATACACAAGGATTGACTATTCAATCCATTTCTGATCGAGCAATTTTTCCTTTCTTTCTTTTTAGTTAGAACATGTTCTAACTAAAAAGGGAGAAAGAAAAGGGTTTGTCCAAAAGTCATTTTACGGTCTTCTTTTGAGCACAGTTTCTTTTACTTGGAGATGAGCAACTTTGGCTGGTGTCTGTAGAATCTGTCAGCTCAATGATGGCCTCAACAATCATCTGAATCTAGATGTAATTATGCACACAATATCTTCCAAGGGAACTTAGCTGTTTTCTAACTCAGTCACGAGTCCTCGAAAAATTGTCTGGCAATCTTTGTCCATTTGCTTTTAAGGTGATCATCCGGTCCAATCCAGAGCAGGTCAGTAACTCACATTCAGGTCTGCCTCAGACAAAATTCCCTTCTGATATGTCCCTCTGTATTGACCTCCTCCAGAAAAACCAAACTGCCCGAACAAAAGACAAAATCACCTTGTCTCTGCCAACTGTTAGGACTACACGACATTAGTATACGTAGTGCCTACATATTTTCTGAAGATTACTAAAATATATCAAAAATTGCTAAATTCCTTTTATGCTACTGTCCCAATTAAGCAATTAAATATTGTATTAATTTATTAGTTTGGTTTCCGTTCTTTGAGATTTGGCCCAATAAAGCAGCTGCCCAATTAAACAGAATTGACTGTATTTGATTTTGATAGTAGATTTAGTATAGTAAATAGTAGTATTAAAGAACTCCAATATATTCATATGGACTGTCCATATGAATATATTGGAGCTATTGATCATGGTCTAAAAATGAGGATCAAGGAACATAAATACACAATTCAGAAGGATCTTTCCACTACTGCATTAGCTTCTTTTACTGTTGATAATGATGGGCAAGTTAAATTTGAGGATGCCCTACAAAGCTGCAATGACCCAGCCAACATGAAATATCTTGAATGACTAGAAATATTCAAAGAATTTAAGAGAGGAATGGCAATTAATTTTAAAGAAATGGATTCACTAGCAATCATGTGGAGGGCATGCTTTGACTTACAATAGATTTGAAGTTAAGTTATAAACCAGGTATTTTCTAAAATTGTAATCCAGTTTGAAGAACCTTGTTAAATGCAACATTGAGCATGCACATATTTTCATGACATGTAAAAAAATGTTTAAATTTTTGTTCTATTAACAAGCATTCTATTAGTTCTAAACCTGATGATGACAGTTAAAAACAGAGGAAAACATTTGTTTTTAGATTAGTTAAATCTAATTCATGTTGGTTGTTGGTAATTACATATTTTAGATCATTTACTCAATGTTGATACAATTACATTGTTTGTTTATCAATGCTAATAATAAACAACAACACACAACACCAGGGTGTAGTAAAAAATGTACCCTGTGAACCGATGACTAGTGTGCGACAAAAAAAAAAAAAAAAAAAAAAAAGAGAAAGTTTGCCACTAACATTTTTGAACTTCCACGTTCTTCTTCAGGTGCTAATAATAAATAAAGTATTTGAATTCAAGGAAGCAAAGAT